TTCCCGGGGTTTGCGCCGCAGAGCTGGGACGGCCTTCGGCTTCCCTGGAGCCTCCCCACTGGTGTCGAAGAGGCGAGCCTGGCCCCCTCTGTCCTCACCCCAGCCTTCACTGAGGAACCTCCCAGGCCCAGGCTGCCTCTCGCCCCTAGGATCCCTGTCCCCTCAGCTGTCCCTCCGTCAGGGGCCATTCCAGCCCCCCTTCCCACCTCCACTTCGCCGACCTCGATCCCTGCGGGAGCCCCTGGCCCAGCACAGAGCTTCTGGGCACCTGGGCCCACCCCACTTGCCAGCGCCAGCGCTGGGTTCACCCGGCCTGCCCTTGCGACCCTCTCTGCTGGGCCACCGTCCAAGGCAGCTATCCCTCAACTTACCCTCGCGCTTCCCGCACACGTGGCGGCGCCTCAGCGAACCACCCACCCGTGCAGTAAAGCCTCGCGTGCTCCAGCCCTTCCACCGGTCTCCCAGTGCAGGCTCTTGGAGAGTGGCTGCCAGGCTCCCAGAGCACAAGGAGAGCCAACAGGAACCTGAGGATTCTGACACACTCTGGACTGTGCCCCCACTGGGCCCCAGCTGGGATGTGGGTGTGCCTCCCACCCAGCGCCCACCCTCCCCCTGGCCTGGAGGTGTGGGTAGCCTTCGTGGCTTTTCCAGGGCATCCCGGCTGCCCAAGGATCCCTTCCTTCAGCACGTGGGCTCCCTGCCATCCCCTGCTCCCCAGCCTGAGGACCCGACCTCCGACTCAACCAGTGTCTTCTTGGGCAGATACCAGGACCCAGGGCCTGGACAGCTTAACAAATCAGCCTGCTCAATTCCTGAGCATCCTGAAGAAGCTACCCGGATAGACCCTCAGGCACCAACAGATCCTGGGACTTGGATCCCAACATCTCCCAAGGATGTGGCCCCAGAGAAGAAGGTGTTAAAGCTCAGCCTCTCATACCCACTGGCCACATGTGACCAGGCAAGGGCCACATGGCCACCATGGCGCCGCTGGAAGACACTGTCCAGAGCTCCAGCCCCCTTGGCACCCACTGGGCCCCCAGGGCCCCTCCCCAAGGTGGGTGAGCAGCTTCAGGCTCGCCCTGGGCGTTTTGCAGTGGTCATGCCTCAGGTGCGAAAATTGACTTCTTTCCAGCGAGCTGGGCCTGCCACCCTGAAGACCCCAGAACAGTCAGCCCCAGAACCTGAGCATGGTCCAGAGCCCCGAGCCTACAACTTTCAGTGGCCTCACCTCTGGCTGCAGGCAAATGCCCACCTGCCCTGGCCACAAATACACACCTGTCATCAGTCTCACCTCCTGGGCCCTGGAGCTGGCTGCCTGTCCCTCAGGGGCCCCTGGGAAGATGTTGGCCCCAAAACCTGGCCGAACAAGGTATGGGACACAGGTGAAAGGGAGGGCTTGGGGATTCTGGTCTAGGAAACAGGGCAAGAGGTAGCCTGAGGAACCTGGAACAACCTTGTCAAGCTGTTTCCTGCACAGGCCTCAGTCTGCCATCTACAGGTTGGGAAAATAGCCTGGCATATTTTCTTGGGTATTGTACCAGGGATGCCCAGCACAGGTAGACATATGGCAGAGATGCAGGAAACTTCTTCTGAGCGACTTTGTGGAAGAAATCTTTTTGGTTAGGTCTAGCCTGGGCCCTGAACTGCCCTGCTCTGGTCCACCCTGGCCTAGGCAACCCCAGGTATCCTGCAGAGCTTTCAGACAACCTGAGTGAAAAGTTCAGCACTTGCCTGTCTACCCTGTCCCACTCCCACATCCCCGCTCTTGTCTTCATGCCTCCTAATGACCCCAAATTGGAGTCCTCGTTCCCCTCAGGCTCCTGCTGCCTTTTACAGTCTTCTGGTCTGAAGGATTCTGGACAAGGAGAAGGGGAGGGCTCATTACACAACTTTCAGCCTCCTCATTGCGGAGTGGGAAAACAGACCTAGAGGCTGCACAGTGGATAAGCCAGGAGATCTGCTTGGGTTCACTGACAGACACAGGGTCGGCAGCCTGCCTGAAGGGTGCCAAGCCTGTGTCTGGCTGCTCATGGTGGAATGTGATCCAATGCTGGATGGCCCTTGAAGGGGGGGGTGGTCACCGGAGCCTCCCCCGGGACACCTTGGATGGGCGGGGCAAACGGGTGGCGGGTGTTTCTCAGCCTGTTCAGAGGGTGCCCCATGGAGCAGTCAGCCAGCCGTGCCTGACAATGGCAACTGGGGCAGCCTGGCTTTTGGGGGGACCCTGGCCACGGCGACGGGTGCCCCGAACCGTATGGGCTGCAGCATTGCGGGAGCGGGGCGCAGGGCGCCCAGGGGTGAGGGGCAAGGATGCCTGGGCCCTCCTCACCCTGGAATACGTGAGTGGCTGAATTATTCAGGGTCTGTGGCTGCTGCGAGCACATGGGCAGATGGGTGGGCCTGAGGCCAAGGCTGAAAGGGTGATACCTGCGCCCTACTTAGCAGCCCTGTGATGGGCACGAAGCACACAGGGCCCCGACTGGTGTCCCCTTTCATGTCTGCCCAGGGAGGTGAGCAACTGGGATGGGAAAAGCCGAGGGTGCACATATGTGTGCTTGCAGATGCAGAGCGTTGTGTGCCCAGACACACATGTCTACCACAACCAAGCATGAAAAGCAAGCATGTGCACAAGTCTGAGCAGATATGGCATCCTGGGTGACTTGCCCGATCTCTGCATGTGCGCACACATGCGTGCACGTAAATGGGCATTGTCACTGTGGAAATTCTGCAGCCCAAAGGTGGTGTGACGACTTCCATTCTCCAGGCTCCCAGGGTGGAGCGAACCCCAGCCCTCTGCCCAGGTGCACATACTGATGGACCTTAAGGGCATGTTCCTGCGTGTGTGCGCCCCCAGCCAAGGGCCTGCATGCATATCACAGGTGTGCACAGGAGTACTGAGAGCTGCAAGGCCACCGAGTGTGAGTCCACACACAGGGGTGTAGCCCTGAAGCAGATTCCATTTTGGCCCTCCTGGAGGTTGCATGCATCAGGACACAGATGTCCATCAAGTCTTCACACAAGCAACACGTTGGGTCTGCCAGAAGGCAGGGTCTCAGCCCAGGGAGAACTGAGGTTGTGGGAGCACAGGCACATGTGTGCATGTACGTGTGTTCTTGCCCCCAAGGCAGGGCACATGGAACTCCCAGAGACTTGCCCAGGGATTTTTGGGCACTGAGGACAGACTGGAGTCTCTGTGTGTGAGGGTTGTACAAAGGATCAGTTAGACCACAGTGCTCTGTGTTGAGGAGGCCTACAGTGCTCACCAGGCCTGGCCCTGAGGTTCCCTCTGTGACAATGGGAGCAGGTCTCAGTCTGTCCAAGGCTGGGCCTCCACGGATGTGCTCCAGCCTGCCAGCCTCACTTCTCCTTCACAGATGCACTCCATCCGAAACCTGCCTTCTATGCGGAGCCATGAGCAGCCTAGGGAAGACGGTGTGGAGGATATGACGCAGCTGGAGTAAGTGAGCAGGCCTGGGGACAGTCACTGTGGGATCCCCACACTCTCGGACTGTGTTTCCTATCTATCTCCCAGAACATTTTCAGAGCCTCAGTTTCCCTGTCTATGTATGGGTGTCGTAGAATGTCACTAAAGGCCAAATATGTGCAAGTTAAAGCTCTGTGAGTCAGACAAGCCTTGTTCAAACTCCAGCCCTGTCACGTAGCAACTAGGGGACTCTGGGCACATCACTTCCCCTCTCTATGCCTATTTCTCCTCAACAAGATGGGACAGGTGGCTGTGAGAGCACTGGCATATGGGAGGTGCCCAGAAGGAGGTGAGATCTGTGCTGGTCAGCACTGTGATCCCATTACACTGACTCACCCTGCTGCCTTATAAGACCCTCCAACCCCCTGGGTAGTAGGTACAATGATTATACTCATTGGACGATAAGACACTGAGGCATCTGGGTGTGGTGGCACACACCTGTAATACCAGCACTCAGGAGGCTGAGGCAGGAGGAGCTCTGCAAATTGAAAGCCGGCATTGGCTACATAGTGAGTTCAAGGCCAGCCTGAACAGCTTTCTCAAGAACAAAACAAAACAAAAAACTAGAAAACTGAGGTGTAACAAGGTGAAGTAACTTTCCCAAGGTTACCGTCAAAAACTGAAATTCAGTCCTGTTGATAAAGGCATTTAGTGGAGAGCAGACCCCAGGTACACTATACTAACAACCTCCCTTCATGTTCTTCTAGAGACCTGCAGGAGACCACTGTGCTGTCCAATCTCAAAACCAGATTTGAACGGAACCTCATCTATGTAAGTCCCAGGGCAGGCCTGCTGCCTCCTGGAGCCAGGTGAGAAGTAAGGTTTCTCCCACCCAGCCCGGAATTATAGCTTCTTGTCTGAGCTCTGGGATTTCACCATTTTGGCACAGAATACTGCAGTCTAGCACTATGAAATTGAAAGTCCTAAAATGTCATCTGACAATGGCAGACACTAGAGACAGAAACATAGGGATGTGGAATCCAGAAACATGACAAATCCCCCCGCCCCGCGCACCCACACAACACTGGAGACCTGACAGATAAAACTTCCAGTGTCTTGGGATCCAAATAGTGGGGGTAGCCAAAGAGGTGAGAGGGAAACCCATAACCCCAGAATGACAGGACCACAGAAATTTGGGATACCCAGAAGGGACTGGCTACTCTGCATGCCCTGGGGTCTCCAACTCCCTCCCAACCCAGGCACTAAAGGTTTGACCTCCACATGAGGCAGATGTCCTGGAACCTGGGCCTGACCGAATATAAATGATACGGCCCCTTTGGCAGGATCCCCGTTGCGTGGTCCCTCCTCCACACTGCTCCCAGACGCAGCCTTTGTGGTACCTGAGCCCCATAATTAGAACACAGGAACTGTTAGCAGAATCTAGGTGGTCACAATAAGGCAAGGCAGCCAGACATCCATCCTCCTGGAAAGGGGAGGTGGGGCCGTGGGGAGCCACAGCACTGAGACCGTCATCCACCAGCAGACGTACATCGGCAGCATCTTGGTGTCCGTGAACCCATACCAAATGTTCGGGATCTATGGGCCGGAGCAGGTGCAGCAGTACAGCGGGAGGGCCCTGGGAGATAATCCACCGTGAGTGTCTGCAGGGCTGGAGGAGGGGGCTGCCCTGGGGTCTCCTGGGTCCCTCTGTAAGCTTGGCAAGTCCTAGGCTGCCCCTCAGCCATGGGGCAACTCATGGTCTCTCTGCAGACCTGGGCATGGCCCTCCCTGCAAGCCACTGTGGCTTAGGATGGGCATGGGTGTATTGCCCCCAGAGGGCAATGGGTGGACAGGATTGGCTGCTTGGCTGGATAGAGACACCCCACTGTTACCACCACCACCAACCCTGGGAGGCTTGGGAGCACATTGGCAAAGCTTTTTCTAGTGATGTCTAATGACCTGTCTTGACAGACACCTCTTTGCGATTGCTAATCTCGCCTTCACCAAAATGCTTGATGCCAAGCAGAACCAATGCATAATCATCAGGTGAGCCAGGCCTCAGGCACCTCTCAGAGCCACTGCCTCTATCCCCTTTTTAATGATGGGTTGGAGCGAACCCAGAGGAGGCAGTGAAAGGCTGAACCTCACTCTGCCCCTTTGTGTGGTCAGTGGAGAGAGCGGCTCTGGCAAAACCGAGGCCACCAAGCTGATTCTGCGCTACCTGGCTGCCATGAACCAGAAGCGGGATGTCATGCAGCAGGTAAGTCTGCCTGTTCCTTGCTTTGCCTGTCTGTCTCCCCAGGACCTTCTGTGAAGCACTCTTGCTGAGCATGCCTTATGTGCTCTCTAAGAGGGAACTCACCTCCTTGGCCGAACTTGGGCAGTGAGAAGGCTTAGTTTTGAAGCTTAGCCCAGCCCAAGGGTGCTTTTGTGCCATCCCTCTGAGGGAAGCCCTGGGGAACTGGGAGGTGGTCACACTGAGGCAAGGCAGCCATCCATCCACCCTGTGTCAGGTAGAATGGGAGTCAGCCCATTTCTCCAGCCTGGCCTCACCTTCCCAGTTATAGTCCCAAGGCCACCGTATCCTCACTCAGAGGCTATACAGCCCGTAGCCCTGAAGAGGCAGGACAGGTCCAGGGGTGATGGTGCCTGAGGTGGGGACACAGCAGATGCCAACCTGGGGGTGTCAGAGGACACCAGGCCAGATTCTGAGGTTTGCTGATAAGGAGAATGCTAAATCTTGAGAATGTCAGAAGCTTCTTCATTTCTTCAGTAAAAGTCTGTTGAGGTCCCACTATGTGCCAGGCACTGAGGAGGAGGCAGCATCAACTCAGACAGACAAATGTTCATACCCTTGTGGGAATTTCATTCTACTAGAGGAGGCAGACAGGAAAAAAATATATTAGTACCTGTAAGTACACTGTATATGTGGTGTGATAAAAATATGTTTAAACTTTTAAAAAATTAATTACAGTAATTAACACATTGCCGTTAATCTCCCTCAAAATAGTCTCTCTCACATCAAATACACTTATCTTCTTATCTTATCATTCTTTTTTTTTGAGGCAAGGTCTCACTATGTAGTTGAAACTGACCTGGAACTCACTATGTAGCCCAGGCTGGTCACGACCTCAGCGATCCTCCTGCCTCAGCCTCCTGAGTGCTGGGATTACAGGTGTGCGCCACCACGCCCGGCTTATCTCGTTGTTCTTGCCAGTTTCTCGAGCAGTTCTGGAAGTCATCTAGAGCCTCCTGTGCTGGGATTACAGGTGTGCGCCACCACGCCCGGCTTATCTCGTTGTTCTTGCCAGTTTCTCGAGCAGTTCTGGAAGTCATCTTTGTACTGTCAGGACTACTTCAAAATATTTACCTTTCGTGGTCATTTTGACTTTTGGAAAGAGCTAGGAGTTGCACAGTGCCAGATTTTGTGAATAGGGTGGATGAAAATCCACCATAATATTTTTATGGCCCACTTATCTGTTGGATGGCACTCAGCAGCAGTATTCACTATAATTTATTGTGACACTTCATAAAGACATCCACAAAAGAGGACTTTTAGCACTACTTCAGAAGCTGCCAAGAACTGTGGGATAAGTGTCTTTGGAGCGAAGACTGTTTTGAGGGGGATTAGTAGCAATGTGTCTTTCACTACAGTAAATTTTAAAAATGTAAACATTAACCATTTATTTTGATTACCTCTAATATTTGTGAAAAAGGTACTGTGTTGGGGAGGAAAAAATAGGGAGGAGGGTGAGGAGTGTTGGCGGTTGTAATTGTAACCATAGTAGCCAAGGAGTGGGCCCAAGCACATCTGAAAAAGAGCGAGGGGCCAAGGGCAGAGCACGTGCAGAGGCCCTGAGTGTGTAAGTCTGAGGCACTTAAGGGACAACGCAGCAACAGCATGGAGCCCAGATGAGGGAGGACCGGGGCTCAGGCCAGAGCAGCAGCAGTGTGTGCACTGGATCTTGATGCATATTTAACGCCAGCTAATGATCTGTAGAAGGATCAGACAAGAGGCATGAGAGTGGGCTCAATCTGAAAGTGACCCCACTGCTCAGCCTCCTAGCAGCGTGGGGGCAGGCAGGCCTGTTGAGAGTAGGGTTATAGAGAAGAAGTGCCCACTAGATGTGGAAAACTGAGGGCTGGGAAGAGAGTTGACTTGCCTGAAGTCCCAAAGCCAGACAGTGGAGGAACTGAGATTTATAGTACGTGGTAGAGAGCTGTAGGGGAAATGGCTGAGTCTGGGAGTTTCTCTACCAACACACCACAGATGTACGGACATTCTTGCCGGCAGTGTGGCTATAGAGCTCCTCTCTTAGCCATAGCTCTGCCCTGCTCTGTTATTGGACAGTCCAGATCTAGGGTCAGTTTTAGGTATGGCCGGGTCCTGGGTCTTCAACGTTGTCTGTCTTTTCCCATCCTCCCCCATGCACGACCGTCATCCTCAGTCTGTCACCCATCGATCAGCCAGATGGTGCCGTAGGACTCAAGCTCCCAGGAGGCACAGGGCTCTTTCTCATCGGACATGTTTTGGTCACGTGTCCTCATTGAAGCTAATCATGCCGTGTGGAGAATGCTTGCCCTGATTGGCTGAGGTCTGGGCCACAGTCTCTATCCCTCCACGGTTCCTCCATTCCAGCCCAGGAGTCCTCTCCTTCAGCTCCTGGTTTCGTGCCCCACCCTGTGCTGGGCAATCAGGAACAAAGAAGTGACCCAGCCACCTGCAGGTACCCTCAAGGGACTCCCAGATGAAGGAATAGTACAAGAGCACTGCTGGCGAACCTTTTAGAGCTTTCAGTGGTAACACACAGCCAGCTGCGTCACACGTGCCAAGTGCCCAGTCAGACCTTAACTCACTGAGCAACCACAGGCCAGCCCCGGCCTTTTCTGGATCTCAGGCTGCTCCTTTCCATACAAGGGGCACAGCAGGTCTGGGACTAAACAGGGTGGTGGGTGAGCAGATGGAGGAACTGGCACCACTCCCAGGATCACAGCTGTGGTTTTTGCATTGCCTGGGCCTCCCCTGCTTCCCTAACATTTCAGCCTTAGCCTCCCCAAATTCTATATTCTTGCTAGCACTTGCTTATCGTCCTCCTGTCAGGGGTCCCATTCACAGATTCTAGGATCCCTGGGCAAATCACGTCACTTTTCAAAGTCTCTGTTTAGAAAACTAATATGCAAAAGCAGTGATGATGTTAGAACTTAGTTTACGGGATATTTATGTTTTCGAAGTCATAGCACAATGGTCTGACTCATAGTCGGTGCTCAACAGATGGCTGCTGTGATCAGCTGTGGGTGCTCACCCTGGGAAGATCTGCTTATGAGATCGTTTACCCTTTTAATCCATTCAGTGGGGTTTTTTGAAAGCCTACTATGCACACTCCCTTGGAGATGCTGGAATTCAAAGGTGCATAGACTCCTACCCATAGGGGCTCTTAATCTGGTAGAAAGATAGACAATACCCAAGAAAACAGTCACAGCAGTGGCTCTTCCTTGACAAGGGTGCTGAGGGCTGAGAGGTACAGAATCTGGATGGTCAAGGAGGCCTCCACATAGGAGGTGAAGGGGCCATGCAGATGCAGACAGCACCACCTTCCAGGCGGTAGGACTGGTAGGTGCAAATGTCCTGAGGCAGGAGTATGCCTTGGTGTTGCGTGAACCATGAGGAGGGCTAGACAGTGCAAGAGAGGGGAGATGAGGACACATGAGGCTGGCCAGGGCTGGGCATTGGAGGATACAGAAAAATTGTTTTTGAGCCTGAAAAAAGTGGAAGCCATGGAGGGAATATGCCCTAACATGGGGTTTCAAAGGGTCCCCAAATGGCTGCATTGAGACAGCAGGAGAGGGCAGGTTCAGGGAGAAGATCGAGGAGCCCAGCCGACTGTTAGCCATGATGGCTCTGGGGCAGAGAGAAGACACCCCCAGAGCCTTGTGGCAGGCAGACCTCGCAGACTCCCAACACCCCAGGGCCATATTGTATGCCCCAAACTAGGACATCTGGGGTCTCTGAGGCTCACGAGTTTGCCTCACAGAGGGCTGGTGTGTTTCTCCTGGGTCCTAGGCTTCTTCTTGGTTTCCTGGGGGCGGGAGGCAGGGGAAGATGGTCAGTCTGATCAGTAAACCTCTTCTGTTCTTGTCCTCCTTTCCTTTTCCTCCTTCAATGGCACTCCTGAAGATAAAGGTACTTGGAGCATGTGTGTGTGTGTGTGTGTGTGTGTGTGTGTGTGTGCATGCTAAGCCCGTGCATGCTTGATGGTAGGCAGGGTGGGAGCGTGTGTGTGTGTGTGTGTGTGTGTGTGTGTGTGTGTGCACGCATGCTAGGCCCGTGCATGCTGTGATGGTAGGCAGGGTGGGAGCATGTGTGTGTGTGTGTGTGTGTGTG